CTCAAAAAAAAAAAAAAAAAAAAATCCCTAACTATTATAGTGTTATGAGATATATTGCTCAGACCAATCAAGGTCTGTTTCATGAATCTGGCAGCACTTAAATTGGGGGCATAAATATTTAGAATTGAAATGTCATCTTGATCTATTGTTCCTTTGATCAGCATGAAGTAACCATCTTTGCCTTTGTTATATTTAGTTGCTTCAAATTCACTTGTATCTGAAGGTAAGATTCTGGATCCTCCTTTCTTCTGAATTACACTTACCTGAAATATTGTTTTCTAACCCTTTGTTTTGTCCTTCAATGTTAGCTGCATTTCCTGGAGATAGCATATGGCTGGCTTGTGCTTTTTTATCCAGTCAGCCAGCCTGTGCCTCTTCAGTGGGGAATTCAAGCCATTTACATTTATTGAGAGAATTGATAAGTATGGTGGAGTTCTATTCATATTATGTTGTCCTTTCATATAGTTTCCATTTCTTTGCTGAGATTTCTCATCAATATTCTTTCATTATTACTATCTTTCAATTTAAGTACTTGAACATATTATAATAGTTGCTTTGTATTTCTTACTGCTAATTCCAAAAGATGGATCTTGTCAGGACATACTTGTTTTGATTGCTTTTGATCTTTTAGGTCATAGTTTCCTATTTTTCTAAATGCCTAGTAATTTTTCACTGATGTTAGACCCAACAGATGGATAATACATTATAAAAAGTCTGGATTTTGTTTTCTTTATCTGAAGATTGCCTATTTTTGTGCTACAAATCATTTAAACTACTAAATAATTACATTGAATTTATGAAATTTTGTTTTATACTTTTTTAGGGTGGGTATGTTTCAACTCTGCCATTCTTAGTCTTAGGATGTTGTCTGTACCTGTAATACACGACCTTTTTGAGATTTTCATAGAAAATCTGAGGGGCTTATCAAGCCCCCCTAACTTATTGGGATTCAAAGGCTAAAATTGGTTTCCCCTCCATTCTTTCAGTTCTTTCAGTCTCCTTGGTATTGCTTTCTTCCAGGGTTCTTAGAGGATCCTTAATACTTTCACAACTTGGGAGTCACTCACGATTTCAGAGAAGTTTTTCTATATGTCCAGGGGTACCCCTCCATGGCTCTTTCCTTTTAGGATATCTCTCTATAAATACACAGCTGCTCTGGCTGCCCTACACTCTATCCCCTGAATGCCTGCATCACGTGGACTGAGGGCCAAGCTTGGGGAAAATCCATATTAGCATACATCTCAGATAGTGCAGTTCTACTAACCTTACTATCAAGGGTTAAATCTCTAATTTCTATCTGCTTTTTATCCCCCTCACTGTCTTCAAATAGTTATTACCCACCCCAGTATAGTATTTGTGCTATACTTTATAACAAAGTCATTTGTATTTCTACATATGTAGTTTCAAATATATATACATATGTAGAAAAAACCGTTATTCTGGTATTTATAATTGCTCTGCACAGGAGCATTTGTCTAATAAAAGCTATTCTGACATTACCAAAACTGGAAATCCTTGTTTACTATATACTTTAAGCAGCTAAAATTTAATTTTTCCTATTTTTCTTAGCTAAAGATTGATACTGGTTAGTATTTATTATATACATTGTTTTTCAGAATATATGTGTTAGAACGTTTACATCTTTATAGATCTGTGGCAGCTCTTTACATTTTTTCTTTATTGAAACAATTTGAAAATGCTTGACTGTACTTTGCCCTATTAGATTTTCCACTCACCATAAATAAAATCAAATGTAGGCACTTGGGGGAAAAATGACCTTTTATACTACAGGTTTAGAAAATGCGTGTATTTTGTTATCATCTTTTACTTTGAAGTGTAACTTTGTCCTTCATATATATGACATCATAATTCTAAAGAGGGCACTTTCCCTCATCAGCTAGGATATATTATCAGTTATTTTATTGAGTCATTTTTTTCTTGATTTTTTTTCTGTCTTCAAAAATTGGCCTGTCTAAACGCTTATATTTTTAGTCTATATGGGCGCATCAATTTATAGTCTCAGATTATATCAAAAAGGAATGTTTTTAGCTTCTTCATTTAATTTTTGAGACCTTGTTTTATCTGATGTACTTGACCTATGATGGGGATTGGTTCAGATTAAATCAGACCCTCCCCTATTGGAGGTGGAATATCTTTACTGTACTGGTGAGCATAATAAAGATAGCCATTTCCCATTGGTTTCCCTTCATACTGTCATACTGTTTCTTCCAACTCAGCTTTTTTTCCGGCTTAGACTCTGCTTATCTTCGGTAGTCCAAGGTCAGACAGCAGCCTCTGTTTCTCGGTTTGGGGTATTATCTCCTATCCTGTATGAACACACGTAGGTTCATGTGTTCACGAACCTTTCCATGGATAGATGTCTTCATTATTATGATGACATAACTGTAAAACAGACAAATGCTCATGAAGAGTAATTTTATAAACAGTGTATGAATGTCTCCAGCAAGAATGCTGTGCCATCAAACTGCTTTGTAATTTATATAAACTTGAAAAATTAGGTATCATATATAGCAGCAACAATAATATCAGGCAGCACATATCTACCTTGTAGTAATTGATAAGCCCTATATAGTGTGGTTTATTGGGTTTATAGGATGTAATCTGGAGGTCAGAATTTTTTTTAATAAGGAAATACAAGACCCTTCACAGCCTTGTAATAGAGCCTTGTAATATAGCCAGCACTATATTCTAACCCAAGGAACCTCAAGAATTTTTTTCAAGTGTTACCTCCAGGACAAGTAATACTCTTGGTCATGGAATGCTTTCACCCGGGCATTCCTCTGTTTGCACTGGCTATATTCTAATCCCTTCCTCCCTAAGACCTCTTACCATAATCCAGTTAATTTCAATTAACTATACTTTATACAAAATTATAATATTATTAATCTTCAGTTAACTATGCTTCATACAGCAAACGAATCATTATAAATGTTGATTCTTTAATTTTTTTTTTTCACTAACAACTTACCTGGGACAGGTGCTCCCACTGATCACAGCACACCACTTTACCTGTGACGCGACATCTTGGGGCAGAACCACCACACTAATGTAACAACTTATTGATTCAGTGCCAGCAGTTCACTGAAAGCCCTGTTCTTGTCTTGCAGGATGCAGGCTGGCTGGTGGGAGTGAAGGAATCAGACTGGCTTCAGTACCGAGACCTTGCGTCCTACAAGGGCCTCTTTCCAGAGAACTTTACCCGGCGCTTGGATTAGGGCAACGAGCTTTGCAGAAAGAGCTCAGTGATCAGGTTTTTAAACCCTCATGAAAAACCTGAAGGGTTCACTTTTGCTGTTATGCTCTTAACGATTTACAGACTGATGCCAGACGAAGCCTGGGAGGATGTGTCAATGGAGCATGTATGCGAAATGGATAATAGGGAAAAAAAGTAAATTAAGGCAAAAGTCCTCGCTCATTCCCATGTTGTTGATGACAGGTTTGTTTGTGCTTTGTCCAAGCTGTGGGGACTTGTGCATTTGATCCCCTCCCAATTCTAAAGCAGCTTTCTCCAGACCAGACCTTAATTTCTCTGTCTCTGGTATTGAGTGAGTGCCCTGGAAAAGATGTGATAAATTATCTTGTAGCACCAGATTATTTTATTCCCTTGCCCAAGTGTGAGCACGTGCTCTCTCTCCCTTTCAAGTTTACTGTGTTTAAACTGCTGCAAAACTTCTCCATGTTCTCTCCCGACACATCTATACATATATTGGACACACAGTCACACAGCTAGTTCCCATGAGTGCTGGATCTATGTGTATGTGGAAGGCTCCATACACATAGCTGCTTTCTTTCCTTTCCATTGTAGCTCTTTGCCTCCCAAGTGTCATTGATACATGCATTGCTCTTATTCTGTCTGGCATTACACTTGCAGTTTTGCTTCAGGGCAAAACCAGCCATCCCATTGCCAAAACAGTGGACAGTATCTGTGTTTGTACTGTGCAGTTTTCAGGATGACATGACAAATAGCCCGTCCACGCTGCTGCCCCTTCAGAAGAAGCAGGGCCTGATTTTCTGGCTGTCCAGCTGCTGTGGTCAGAGATAGGCCAGTTGGGATGAGCAGCTAAGTAGTCTTCACTTCTGCCTTTATGAGATTGGCTAGAAGATGGGGTATATTAGTCCACGCCCAAAAGAACACTATACAAATAGCTCCTAAACATTTCCACCTCTTTATATTTATGCAACCCATCTTCACAGATTGTTCTAAAGAAAAAATATAGGTGATGTATGCTGTACCCACAAATCATCTGTAACAAATTATGTTTTCAGTGCTGTGTCATTCCAAATAAACCTTTGGTAGTCTTCAACAGTAACACTAATTCTTTTTTATGAGTCTTTTTATTTTCAAATTTTGTTCCAGTTGGATGCACTACTTGAAACAGCATATATTGGAGTTGTTATTTGTGCAGAAATACGCTTGTTCTCCCACTGGGCTGTGCTGTGAGGCCCTGCGTCACTCCCCTTCTGCCTCCACTCCAGTCATTGCTGGTCACTGGTGTCCCCTGACATCCAGCAATCACTAGAGCACAAATAACAGCTGTGGACACAGAGCCCCTAATGGCGCTGGCCGTGGACTCCCAGGCCATGAATCACTGACAACCTTACAACCTTCATAATCAGCAATTTCTTCTCCCACCAGCCTCATTTTTGTTCACTTTTCTTTCTGGCATGTTTATGTGTGTGAATACATGAAAGATTATATCAGATGGAATAGAGAAGTCAATTCACTGAGCCATTATTTTGTCTAGAGGAGGATGCTTGAAACAAAAATATTTCATTTGACTTCAACTCTTTACTCCTAATATAATTGTTTATATAATATGGTGTGATCAAGAATGTGTACTGTTAGTCTTTTAACTTTGGTATGTATTTCTGATTCATGGTTTAAATCTTCCTGGTAGATGCTGACTTTGACTTTTTCAAGTGTTAATCAGAAATTAACTAATATTGAGCCAAGACTTTATTCCAGGGGCTAATTTGCAGGGAACTTGGTCATCACAAATGCTAGTCTAGTGCAGGAAAACCAAGGGAGCCTGACTGTGATAATTCAGCAAGTGGAAGGCAGTGGAGTTAGATTTATAATAGAAAGCCAGTCCTGATGTTGAGAGTACAAGACATGGATGTTGAAAGCCACAACTAAAATATTAGTTCCAACAATAAAATACATCTGACGTCGTACAAAGGTGATGGTCACATCTCCTGGATATCCCTTTCCCTCTCTGCTGCCAGTGCTCTCACCCTGTGTGGTTTGGCAGGACATGACCCTAAACAGCTAGATATATGTTCCAGGATAAACTTAATGAATTTTTCCAAAATAACATGTTTTTAGTTAGCTGTTTACTCTTGTTTTTTAAAATGCCTTTGTATTTGTTAACACTAAGTGAAAGTGATCTGATGATTTATTTTGGGAATTGCCAAAATCCGAGAATCCCTAGAGAAACAAAAAGAGAAGAGATGGAGGGATGGGAGTGCGATGGTGGTGTTCTCCAGAAATGTCCCTGGAGATGACTCCAACATGCTTTTCCACATCAGTGGACTTTCTAAGGGACGTGTAATATTAGGGGCTTCCTGTGGTTACTAGTGTGGAGATTCTTTCCACTTTCCTTTCTCATTCATTTAATTCAAGTTCAAGTTCTCAAGCCACCAACCCATGGTAGGCACATCACCAGATCACATATTGGTGAGTTTAGAGCTACGTTTTATCTTAAATGGTCCTTACCCAGGCCTTGGCCCTATCTGAGCCCCCTCTCCATGTTGTAAGATTCCTCACAACCCCAGCGGCATGTAGATCTTCAGTAGAGATGAGTCAGGTAAATAGAGTCCATGGTTCTTATTACAGAAGCAGCTACATGGCTTCCTACAAATACCATGTACAGTCACTCAGTTATACCTGTGTGATGGATAGAACTGTGAAGTAAAGTTGTCTGGCAGTTTGAGTGTTTAATGATGTCTTAGGGTAGCCAGGGCCCCAGGACAGGAAAATGTCCCTGCACCATGCTGTTGTCACCACCTGCTTTTCCTGACAAAGCTGGGACAGCCTTCAAATCACCCAGAAAATCTCTTCCATCATGTCTTGGCCTGCCCGGTAGAGTGTGCAGGGTCGGAATTCTGAGCTCTCTTTGATCACATAAAGAAGCACATCATCAGCCTATTAGAAAAATCCTCACATGAGCCCATGGAGGGTTTAGATGGCCCATTATGACAAACACCTTTGGGAGACTAAAAAAGTTACGAGAACTCATTGAGTTCAGAGATAACTGGAGCTCAGTGGTTTATTGCACATACGCTGCATGGCTGACCACCTCGAAGCCTTAGAAATAGACTGGCCAATGGATTGGCCTTGCCAGGGCTCTGCTACTATTTCAGAGTAGCTCAACAAAGAGCGGCCTTCTGGTTTTTATTTGGAACCTGAATAAAAACCTTACCAACATCATGTGCCTGACCTTGGAGATGAGGGGATCGCACAGTTCCTCTACATGATGGTGTAGCTACTGTTCTGCCTGCCTGAGGCCTCTTCTGGGACTTGAACAATGGAATCGCACACTCGTGGCTGCATGGAGAAGACAGTGATGGACATTCTCTTGGTAGACTTAGAAAATTGAAAGCCATGTGGTCCTGCTCACCCTTGAGCCTGGGGGTCTCAGTCCTGCTCTATGATGATTACGCCCTGCAGCATCAGCAGAAGACCACCCAGGCAGGTCACCAACAGCCTTGTTCAAAGCACACAGTGAGGGTCTGATAAATTGTTCATAAAATCCAAATAAACTCTGCTTGAATAAGCTTAGCTTGAATAAGTTCATCCAAATTCTTTTTTGAGTCATTGGTTATACTTTTTAAAGATCTCTTAATGGCAGATGATATTGACTTTTTTAGCTTAAAAGGTATTTGAGACACAACTCTTAAATCCATACAAATTAAGAGAAAGGCCACCTAGGTACCTTGAGGCTTTTTCATGAATGTCTAGTTATTCTCTTGGTTTCCAAAAATCCAGGTGATTCTCAGTCTCCTCTGATAGCCGGTCAGGTACTCACGTTGTCTGATTGTTGGAGGTCGTGTCGGAGTTGTCTATTCTGCCTTGCCTGCTGTGTGCAGCACGGGGTACTCCTGCTATTAGCGCTTGAGAAACTTCAAGACACATCGTATAAGGCGGGAGCTCCCTGTCCATAAGCCCAGTGCCACATGGGTGATGCCCTGCACCCTCCCCCCATTGAGAAATATCAAACTGTGTTGTTACGTGTGCTCTCTAAAAGCCTAACCGTGATCACCAAGTGATTGCTGTGGCATTCGGTGACACTACCAAACTCCCCTAAACTCTCCCTTAGATTCCAAGATAATAATTTCCCTTGTTTTTCTACCTCTCTGATTGTTCCCTTTTTGTCAACAATACTAATTTTTCTTCCTTGCTGTGGGTGCTGGGGTGGGGGAGGCAGGAGCAGTCTCTGTCCTTCAGTTTGCATTCCAGTTGTCCAGGGACACTTTCCTTTGGCATGTCCAGTCATTGCTTCCGAGTCCACAGGTTCATTTGTTCATTAAACACATGTCAAGCTCTTGCTAAGTGTCAGTTACCGTGCACTGGGACCACATTGTATAGGACTGAGACGTTGTACTCAGGAACCTTCCTCCAAACCCCATGACAGGACTGAGGGCTCCCCCATTCTTCACAATCCTTGCCCCGAAGACATGAAAGCTTCCTTCTCTGCTTCATTTTCCAGATTACAAACACCTCCTAGTTTTTTTTCCCCTCAAAATCCTTGCAGTGTATTCTACTGCCCAATCCAGTAGGGTCCTTCTCACCAGCAGGGAAGGCAACTTGCATCTTGTGTCTCACTGGTCTCCCTCCCTCCTGTCTTTCTAGTTTGTCCCACTCCCCACCCCACATTGTACACCTAACATAGTGATCCTTGCTCCTCCCGCTCAGATGCATGCTAACGATGGATATCTGCTGTGTGTCCTATTGACTTCTATAGTCTCGGCTGATCTTCAGAGCCCTCCCCTCCCCTCCTGTTCACCTGCTGCTTCCTTCAGGTGCATCTACTCACCATCCCACCTGCTGTCTCCACCTTTGCTCACCCTGTTGCAATGTCCTTTCCGAGGATGCTTCCCCTCTCCTGGGGTGCTTCCCCTCTCCCGGGGTGCTTCCCTTCTCCCAGGGTGCTTCCCCTCCCGGATGCGTCCCTTCTCCTGGGATGCTTCTCCTCTCCTAGCTCCCAACACCGTCCCTCCAGCACAGCTCCAGTCCCACATCCTCAACAAAGCCTTCACCTGTTCACACCTGTGCTCCCACCCTTCTACCTTCTTACTGCATTTGGAATCAATATGGTACACGCTGGCCCTTCTTTTCCCTGCTAAGTGATACACTGTCACAGATCACCCTGCCCTGCATTCTGTGTCCACTCTCATGTCTCATCTACAAGAGTGCTGAGTGCACGAACAGGATGCTGAGAGGTTAGTTCATGGAAGTCAGAGATTCTGATCCCAGGATCAACATGGGATAAAATCTGAAAATAAATAGGAAAGGAAAATGTGAAACACTTTAATATTGGAGAGGAAGAGTTTATTCTTAAATAAGACTCCTAACCAACGTATATGGGGGTGGGGGAAGAGTGTGATGACAAAACTAAACATTTCTATTTAATGAAAAGACACTTAAACTTAGTAGACAGATGACAGATTGGCTTAAGATATGCATGGCATCCAAAACTCTTCAAAAGATAAATGTCTTGGATATACAAGGAACTCATGCAAATCAAGAGGAAGCAGATAATAGTTACTATAATGATAATAATATACAGAGGGTGCCAGAATTATACACATTTTAAGAAAGTTAAAAACTATATTAAAATGGTAACACTCAGTATACACTGGTAACAACAGATGAACACAAGTCATGTTGGGCACCTCGCAATTGCAGAAGTCCAATGTGACTTGAGTGTTACCATTTAATACAGTTTTGAACTTTTTAAAAATACATATACATTTTGGAACCCTTTGTATATATTATTTTATGTTATTTCATCTGTTTTGTTTTGTTGTTGTTGTTGTTGTTTTGAGACAGAGTCTCACTATGTTGCCCTCGGGAGAGTGCCGTGGCATCACAGATCACAGCAACCTCAAACTCTTGGGCTTAAGCAATTCTCTTGTCTCAGCCTCCCAAGTAGCTGGGACTACAGGTGCCCACCACAACACTCAGCTTTTTTTGTTGCAGTTGTCTTTGTTGTTTAGCTGGCCTGGGCTGGGTTTGAACCCGCCCACCTGGGTATATGTGATCGGCGCCCTACCCACTGAAATACATGCGCTGCCATTTCATCTGCTCTAACGCCCA